ATGGGAAGAAATCAGAGAGGGAGACAAACCATGAAAAACTCTGGACTCTGGAAAACAAACTGAGGGTTGCTGAAGGGGAGGTGGATGGGTGATGATGGTCACTGGGTGATGGGCATTAAGGAGGCTACATGATGTGATGAGCACTGGGTGTTACATGCAACTGATGAATCACTGAACACTATATCAGAAATTAATGATGTACTACATGTTGACTAATTGAATTTAAATTAAGAAAATAATAAATAAAAAATAAAATTATTAATTAAATGGACCCTAATGATTTGAGATGAAGGTATATCTACATGATCCTATCCCTCCCAGTCTATGCAAAGACCATGACAAAGTGCAATACTGATACCCTGAGGGCAGCCAATAAACACACATGTGACTTCTTTTGGTTCCACTCAATTACCACAATCACCTTGTTTCTCTGAGTATCGACATACAATTTTCCATGCCTGTTTTCCTTTCTTGGGCTTTGTCTACTTATTGGCTGGAAAATCAATGTATGCACTCTACTCTTGCACCTCATGAATCTGAGAAAATTGAGGAAACTAACACTTCTGTGGCATAATTCCCTTAAATGCTGAACGGTCTAGTTGCAAAGCACACTGTTTACCATAGCCTTATTTTCCATTTCATCTCAAATGTAACAGCAATAATGGTGGGGAGCAGGGGCGCCTGGGTGGCTCACTTGGTCAAGCGTCAACTCTTGCTTTCAGCTCAGGTCGTGATCTTGGGGTCATGGGATCGAGCCCCATGTTGGGCTCTGTGATCAGCACAGAGTATGCTTGAGATTTTCTCTCTCCCCTCTGCCCCTCCCCTCCTCATGCACACACTCTCTCTCTCTAAAATAAATAAATCTTTAATAATAATAATAATATAATGGTGGGGAGCAGATGTGGTGTGCTTTCTGTGTGTTAGGCCCTGTGCTGAGAGGTTTCCACACCAACCCTGAGAAGCTGATGATATTATCCTTATTCTATAGACAAGGAAACTGAGATTAGGCACCCTTGTCAAAAACAATGATCAATGGGAAGGGAATGAAATATCCTCTAAGGAGCAGATACAAGAGGTATTACTGTGGAAGGATTATGAGCCTCAGACCAGATAATCCTGAGCTTAAGTCCCAGGCACTTTCCAACTGAATACCTAAGGAAAGCTGCTTCACCTCATACAGCCTCGGGTTTTTTTTTTCTATCTCTAAAATGGGAATAATAAATCCTATTGTACAAGGGTTATTGTAGGCGTCGTCGTGGGAGTAAACTAATACAGAGAATAGAGTCTGAACCATAATAAAACCTCTGCAGGTGTTTATTACCTTCCGTCCCTTATGATTGCTATGTTATCATATAACCCAGCCAGTGGGCCTTCCCGAGTAACGCTCCCGGCCGTGTGCTAACCAATTCTGAAAATATGTATTTATTACCCAGACACCCCTTAGGGCCATTACAGTCTCAAGGAAATCTATCTCAGTTCATAGACCACTGGCCCAAGTAATCATTAAAAGCTAATAAGTGTGCGTTTTGTCAATTCTGTTTTCACGCATGAGCGCTAAGTCTTTGCACTACCAATCTTCTTCCAACATTTTTTCTAACTCATTACACGTTTCTGCAGTGGATTTTTAACTTACTTCTGTTGTATTTTTTGTTTAAGAGTGAGAGGAAGCCAACTCCTATAACCCATCTCCCCTGTAGTGATTCTGCTTGTCTACAAGAGTCTACCACACCACACACGTCCTGCGCTGAGGTGATACTTGGACTGAACCAGTATGTCCCAGGCAAACTCACACCCTTGAAAATAATGGCTTAAAATAGGAATGCTGACACCACCTTAACTCAAACAGCACAAATTCAGGGCTGTAATTTTCTGTGCTACTTAATCTCCTGATACAAAAACCTCTGTTGCTCAAGGGAATTCTTCATCCAGTCCGGAGGAAAAAAAAATATTCTCTCAAGGATGTAATAAGTTAGCAAACCAAATTAGCATGTAGTAGGGTTTTGCAGCTCTTATCGTCCACATTAACCTCAGGGCTCTCCGAGGCTAATGTCTTTAGTTGTGCTGTTTTTTGCTTGCTGTCTCCAGACCACTAACCTTATTTCTCCATGGGGGAATTGAAAGCTGTGCTCTTTGCAAATCTCCCTCTGATTTCCGTTCTTTTTGGTGGAGCTAAGTCTTCAGTTTCCAAGATCAAATGAGCTAAGCCCCTTCCAAGATGAGCTTACTTCTGACTGACACAAGGGGCTACTCTTTTCAGCAGACCCTTGCATGGGCATCATTAAAACACTTCTCTGCCTCTTGAAATGCAACTTCCCTATGCACATGTGTGTGCCTCTGAAGAGACATACGGAGCAGCAGCACCACCTGCTGGTTTTCCCTACATGATTTTTGCAGCACTGTTCTCTTTGGGTTACGGCCTTTGCATCAGAGAATGAAGTTAGCTCACTTTGGGACTCTGTCACCCCATGCAGGTCAAATGCTGGCATATATTTAATAATCTTTTTTTAGCCCCCGCCTAATGAGATGATTTATCTTTAGGCCTAAATTTCGAGATGGAGAGGGAAATGGGAAAGTCAAAATTGAAAATATACAGAATATACAATATACAAAATTGTCAACTCCCAAAGGCATCTTCTCCAGATCCCTGTGGCCATTCCTGTTCAACCTGTTATGTGTCATCTTGGCTGATCAAGGACCTAGTTGCATAGTTGACCACATGCCATATGGTCAGCTTCTGCCTCCATATCAGAGTGGAAAAACAATGGTCCAATAAGTGATTTTCTTACCTGACACAGAAAAGCCTGCTTTCCCTTAAGCTGCAGGAAAGCTGCCTAAATATAACATCATGGCAAAAACGCCTCAAAATAGGAATTGCAGATGACACTATGGATGGCTTAGTGATCAACTGGACCAGTTGGCTGGTGCTACCAACGACAGCAAGGTCATGAATCTAACCCCAAGGGCAAAGTTTAGAAAAACTCTGTTCCATAGGGAGGGAAAACTAACATTTAGGAATGCAAGGTGACTGCATGTACATAAGCTGTCCAATTTTATTTTGCCAACAAGGTTTAAAGGGACTTATTATTCCTAGGAGACTGTAAGTCAACTACTTTCTTGCAGACAATATACATAAACCACTTAGAAATCAGAATTTTCCCCACCACAGCATTGAAACAGTTCTTTCAAGATCACCAAGGACCTCCACTTGTCAAATCAACGGTCAGTTTTCTGTCTTCATGAACTGAAAGAGGAGAAATTGTCTCCCGAGGTCACAACGGACTACATCAGAACGCGGTCTCTCACCTCCCCTGCTTATGGGACAGCAAGCAGGATTTATGTACTCTTTCTGTTACATTTTAGGTTTTTTTATTGCTTTTTATGTTGCAAATAATACATGCATAAATGTTAAAATAGCATGCAGTAAAGGACGAGGACAAACAAAAATCACCCATAAACCCATTACTCAGATGACCATTGTTAACATTTTGGTATATTTCCTTTGTGTGTATGGGTATGCGCGTGCGCACGTGTGTGTGTTTGTGTGTGAGAGACAGAATATTTTCTGTTTTTCTATTGCGATTTTCCTCATATATGTATATGTATTCTGAACATATACATATATACATATTCATATAATACATATCATCATACATATCAACATGGAGAAAATGTTTTAATCTTAACAGCTAACACTACAGTGCATGTTAAGGAAAAAAGATTAAAAAAAAAAAACTTTGGGGCGCCTGGGTGGTTCAGCTGGTTAAGCATCTTACTGTAGGTTTCAGCCCTGGTCATGAACTCAGGGTCCTAGGATCGAGCCTTGTGTCCTGTCTGGTTCCATGCTCAGCGGGGAATCTGCTGGAGTTTCTCTCTCCCTCTCTCTCCGCCTCACCCCCAATTGCGCATGTCTGTGCTCCCCCCGCAAAACAAATAAATAAAATCTTAAAAAAAAAAACTTTGTTAAGTGCGTGGGTAGGAAGTGGCCCCCACCTCTCCCTACTCAAACTAAGAACTAAGAGCTGGCACCGAGACTTTAGAGGAAGAAGAAAAAAGCTTAATGACAGGAGGAATTTGGAGCTTCTAAGGCAACTCAGGAGGTAGGCAAAGGCAAGAAAAGACAGAGAGAGAGAAGAGAGGGACTCAGTGTGAGGGCAGAAAGCTACACCATACAATAAGACCAACCGAAACCATGCCTCAAAGTCTAGTGAAACTCATTAGCATTTGCACGCGTTTGGGAATGAAACTGGATTAAGGAGATGAGGTTCCCATGTAGAAGAGCCCAACGGAGCATGCAAAGAAGCCCGAACAGCCGAGAACTGAGGTCAGGAGAACAGCTAACCACTTGAGGTATAGCAGAAATTCCGAAGAGTGCGTGCGTGCCCGCGCACACACATGCGTGCGCGCACACAGAAAAAAGATGGTGCATTTGGGGAGTTTCCTAAAGATCCATGATGGTGATGATGGCAGTGGTGCGTGTGTGTGCGTGTGTGTTCATTTCTATTTTTAATAAAATCCTACATTTAAAATATTATTTCTACACCAAGTTACTGGAAAAGAGCAAAAAAAAAGATAATTTGGAGTAAAGGACACAGAAAAAAATAGAAAGTGGATCAACAGTTGAACTAAAAATTTATCAGAATGAGCTATATTCAACCCTGTAGAGGAAAAAAACAGTGTAATGCAGTCCTCTTATCCTGGCCCCCACATGCACACATTAGGTAGGTCTGTCGAGTAATATCTATTTCTATTCATTTCCAAACTTACAAAGCTCAGGGCCCTTTTTTTATTTTACTTAAAGCAAGGCCTTTTCCAAATAAGGTAGATTTTCATAAAACTATTCCCCCTCCTACATCTATGTTCCCAGTGTCAGCAAGCCATAGAGGCTGCTATTTTCCAGAGCTGTCATTGTATTCTGTAACAAAGCACCCTTCCCTTTAGCTGAGCTGAACACTAGAAATGCTTTCAAACTAAAGTTTTCAAAGAATCTAGGCATTTTTTACCTTTAGCTGTGGGGTCTGACTTAAGCAATTTTCATTCCTCCTCTTGATTGAAGCTCATTTTAAGCTCAAAGAATAGTAACTGTAATCCCAATTCTCCTTCAAGGATTCTAGAAATGATAAAAACAGTATCACTTGATTCTTGGGGTAATAATCCATGATATATCAGGACATCAGTGGATACAGAGGCATCTGAGAGCCAAGATAAACCAGTGACCATGCAACAAATAGTCAGCTGGGTCAGCAGTAGAAATCCTGGGGTCTTCCATCAAAAGATTGCTGGGAAGATTGTATCCAGGATGCTTTAGAAAGTGGTACTATGGGCAGCAGTAACCAGGTCTGGAAGAGACACTCTCTGAACCCATTGGCAGTGATGTAGAGCAAATTGTCATAGAGACGTCACAATCTCTCTCTCGCTTTCTCCTAAACCTGACCCTGTGGTAGTTCCTACAGCTCGAAATGCTTCATCAAATCTCTAAAAGCTGCTCATGGTGGGTTTTTGTATGTATATTTAACTCCATAACAAAAACTTACAACTTAATGATGTACTAGACACTGTGTTATGCATTAGAGATTTAAATAAAAGAGCATGAATAATGTATCCCCAAGTAACTCACAGCTCATGCATCACCTCTCATGGAAGTCTTCCTCGATCTATAGCCTGTGGTAGCAGAATTCTAAGCTGGCCTCCAAAATCCCTGCCCCATTCCCTACCTGAAAGATCCCCTTCCCTTGAATGTGGGTAGGACACACACATGGATCATGACTATGACCCCATGTCACCCCTGTGAATAGGTTATATTATCTGGCAAAGGTGAGGGGACTTTGCAGATGTAATTAAGGTCCCAAATCAGATGACTATGAATTAATCAAAAAGGAGATTATCTTGGGTGGGCCTGACTTAATCAGATGCAAATTCTTAAAAAAGAGTAATTGAGCCCTTTCTGAAGGGTGAGATACTTCTGCAGGTCTTGAAGAAGTAGGCTTCCATGTTGTCAGAGGGTCACAGGCAATGAAATGTGTCTCCAGGAGCTGAGAGCAGCTCCTGGCTGACAACCAGCAAGAAAACAGACCTGAGTCCTACAAACACAAGAAACTAAACTGCCAATAAGCATGTGAACTTGAAAGCAGACTCTAAGCTCCAGAAAGGAACATAGCCCATTCAACATCTTGATTGCAGCCTTGGGAAACCATGAGCAAAGGAACTAGCTAAACCATGTCAAGACTCCTGGCCCACAAAAACAGTGAGATAATAAATGTGTGTTGTTTTAAACCACTAAGTTTCTGGTAACTCGTGACACAAAACTAGAAAACTAGCACCATGCCCAATTCCAAACTAAAAGTATGCTATGAACAAGAACAGAAATGAAGGAAACTATGTCCACGGAGCACAAAAAGGCAGTACATATAGAGGAAAATATGCAAACTAGTTATCAGGAGATCTTGGTTCTTTTTTTTTTTTTAAGATTTTATTTATTTATTCGAGAGAGAGACAGAGAGAGCACGAGTAGGGGAAGAGCAAGGCGAGAGGGACAAGCAGACTCCCTGCTAAGCAGGGAGCCCAATGCAGGGCTCAATTCCAGGACCCTGAGATTATGACCCAAGCTGAAGGCAGACGCTTAATCGACTGAGCCACCCAGGCACCCCAGGAGATCTTGGTTCTGATCCTGGCTCTCCACTAATTCAAAGTATGATATTGAACAAATCACCTTACTTCTCTGGGTCTCCTCTAGTTTATTCACATACAAGAAGAAGGAATTGAGCCAGATAAACTCTGCCAATATTCTGATCAAAGCCTATGAAACTACATCCTCCATAGCGTGGGCCACTCACCTTCTATCCATACCACAGCAAATGGTAGCTCACCATTAGCTGCTCTGAGCCCTCAAGAAACAGGTACCCATGTAGGATGAGCTTTTAGAAGAGGAGAGGGAAATGTGCTGTCTTTCCTCCTCTTCTAAATGTCTTTACAGTGGCATTAAGAGCGATACAGAAATACCTCCAAATCTCCAGAGCCTAGAAAGACTCAGATCATAAAACTACAGTAGACACCAAAGCCTCAAAAGGGTCTCTGGTCTCACAAGCCTTTTTAGGCTTCTGTGTACCTCTTCTGGAATCTTGGGCAACTGTACATAACCTTCCCACAAATATCACTTTTATGTCAAAATCATATAAGAGCTACCATTTACTGAGCACCTGATATTAAAGTACTATCTCGGGTGCTTTATACACATTACCTGTCTGGGAGGATCAATAATTTATTGAGGGTCACAGAGTTAGTAAGTGAGGGTGAGAAGTCTAACCCAGGTCCATCTCCTGCTAAAGCTTGTGCTTCTCCCTCTGTGTGATCCTCGTGTGGTATCATGATACTTCCTTATATGCCCTCATCCATTCAATAAACACTTCGTGACCCCCCATTCATATGTCACACCACAGAGTGACCATTCATCTTGGCTTGCCCAGGACCAAGACGTTTCCTAGGATAGTGGACTTTGAGTGCTAAAACCCCAGGCAAACTGGGACAAGTCAGCCACTCTAGCATGGTACACAGGGCTGGGGATGCGCACCTGGAACTCAGGAGACATACAGAGCTATAAAGTGACATCCTGAATGCAAAGCTTTCTCTGAGCATCAGTTTAGTTCACTTCTTGGGCACAATCCCCTGGGAGGGACCCTCAGACAGTCTGTATGTGCAATCTCTTCAAGGAGCCATGCCTGACACTCTAAGTTACAGACCTACCTGTCTTCTTGAAAGTCTCCCAAAACCCGGATGCCAGGTTTTCTCAGTTGTCTACAGGCCTGTGGTCATTCAACCTAATACTTTGCCTGGGATACTGGAGCTCCTGAAACTTCGCTGTTCTCCCTTTAGCCAGTAGTGCTCTCTGATTCACCCAGTACCTAAATCTCCAGAGGACAACTGCAGACTTTTCATAGAGTTGTCTGTCGCACTGTTGTCAGACTCTAATCCCAAACCCATTAAGTTTCTTACCCACTTAATGGCAATATCTCCAGTCTGATACAGGGCTCTCAGACTTCTCTTTGTGTTTCATAAGCCCATACGCTGGGGGCAATAACAATAGGTAAGGCTGTTACTGGAGAGAATATTTAACCTAAAATTTATATTCTTAATCATGTGAAACCTGATCCTGGTCTCTCTGGTTCATTTTTTTTTTTAAAGATTTTATTTGACAGAGAGACACAGCGAGAGAGGGAACACAAGCAGGGGGAGTGGGAGAGGGAGAAGCAGACTCCCTGATGAGCAGGGAACCCAATATGGGGCTCGATCCCGGGACCCTGGGATCATGACCTGAGCTGAAGGCAGACGCTTAACAACTGAGCCACCCAGGTTCCCCCATCTCTGTGCCTCTAACTTGACCACAAGGGTCCAGTGCTCAGATGGGCTAGACTTCGGCACCTTCGGCCATGGTGAACTCAAAGGCCAGCATCCCCCAGTGATCTGGGCCCATTTCCAGTTTCAGGGGCAGCCTCTCCAAGCAGCAAAACCTCTTGATCACTTTTTATCAGAAAGAAGAGCTAAATGTGCCCAGTGCCAAAACCAAGATGCCACTTCCGGCCCGGATATTTGAGAAACACCAAATGAATGTTGCCGAAAGTTCTGTTTACCAGATGACCCCATCTGGGAGCTGGCAGTCCATTCTTGAGTAGTCGTATCCTGAGGCTAAGTCCGTTCAAAATGATCTGAGACAGAGCCGTCACGGCGGAGCAATGCGTAGTCAAGCAGTCTGAATGATGGATGCCTCCTGCCTCCACAAACCTACGCCAAGGCCATCACTTCCTGGTGTTAAGGTCGCTAATAGATAACACCTCCCCTTTCCTAATTTGAGCATTAAGTAAATTTAAAAATAAAGCCATAAAATGGCAAATTGAAGCTCAAAATATTACCTTTATTATCAACAAAAATCAAATTGGAGGATGTAATTTAGTGAGAGAGCCACATATGCTAGAAAATGAAACACAGAATTCAGCAGATTTGCACACTGCTCCCAAAAGAATTGAAGACTTTTCCCTGGAGAAAAAGTGGAGAATTAATATTCTCTGCAGCCAGGCTTTGCAAGGTCGGGGGGCAGGAGGAGGGGGAGCTGGGCTGCTTGCAACCCGTTTATTCTTCCCAGTTTTACCAATTAGATAAATCACTCCCCTCCCACATCTCTATCAATAAAGGAGATGAAGGGTGGGCAGGAGTTAAACTAATTGATTTCTGTCCCCTTGAAGACAGCACCATGCATGGCTACTAAGTACAGCTCCAGGTAAGAAGTGCCCTTGTTCCACCGAGGTAGGAACACTAATCAGGATTTTCAGTGTGTACCAGAAAGGAAGAAAAAAGCCAATCTGAAGTGGGTGGTAGAAACTGTAAGTGCTCTGGGATGAAAAAGGAGCAGAAGGGAAAGGACAGTAAGAACTCCGGGCAGGCTTCTCAGAAACAGGGAGAGACCGCAGATGGAAATGTAAGGGATGACAATAATCTGGAGAGCAGAAAAAGGAGGGGATGATACTCTTGATAAAGGGAAAAGCCAACCAGCATGCGGCAGCATAATATGAAGGACAGTCAGGACTCAGCCAGGTGAGAGAGGGGACAGAAGGCCTCTGCCACCTGAACAGCTAAGGGCTTAACACGGGAAGCCTTAGAGGTTCATTAGCCAGAAATAATGTGCTTACCTGTGTGAATGCCCTGATGGGAATGGTTTCAAGGATTTGGTGTGAATGGTTTGAATTTGGAAACCAGAATTCCAACTATTTAAAACATCTGGTTAAATACATAAGCATATTTTGTATCATGTATAGAGTTTCCATATCTACGCAAATCAAAATTGTGACTCTACATGTAAACAGCAAAAAAGTTGTTAGGAAAACATCTGTTGGGGCACCTGGGTGTGGCACAGTCGGTTAAGCGTCTGACTCTTGGTTTCAGCTCAGGTCGTGATCTCAGGGTCATGAGATCAAGCCCTGCATCAGGCTCCTCACTCAGCGTGGAGTCTGCTTAAGACTCTCTCTCTCTCCCTTTGCCCCTCCCCCCGCTAAAATAAATAAAAGACATTTCTATTTCCTAAGGAAATTAAAATTTCTGACCAGGAACCACAGTCGGTGGTTA